CCCTCCCTCCTCCCCCCCCCCCTCCCCGCGCCGGGAGAGCTCCACCATTAAAAAACTATACATACAGGGGTCTGGATTGAATCTAGTTTTGCGTAGAAATTCGTAAACCCATGTGGAATCTCGCTTGGCGTGGAAAGTGTATGCATAGAGGCAGGGGGAGGTGTTCCTCCCCCTCCCCTTCCCCTCCCCCCGACGCTAACTTTGAACGTATGATAAGTTTCCTAACCTGCAAAGTCGTCAACTTTTAACGGTAAAAATCTCGCTTCACGGGACAGAGCGACACTTTTTTCAAATAGAAAAGTTTTATTTCACACAAAAACGTATCGAATAAGCCTAATTGTATCAAAATCGGAGGTGAGGTAGCGATACTGTATAATTACCAAATATTCAACGTGGTCATAGTTATATTATCTTACCTGTATATTTAATCGAATCCAACTTCAATGGATACTTTTTTATGTTGATTGTTTTTAGTCACAAACTGCATTGTCTTTATCAGTTTTTTAATTTTTTGAAACTTTTACTTTATGTTTAGTATTACTTTCGGAAACAATATTACAATATATTAAATTCAGAGTACGAATACACTGTATGTTCTCTGAATGGTTCTGAATTGTAATGCCAGCATGATGATACTTTTTTACTAGCTACTAGTGATTCAATCACGCTATACTGAAATGCAGTGTTGTTCTCACAGACAGTTCTGCCAGTCGAGGCCGGGTTGCGCCTCCACCGATTAGGCTGCGCATGCGCCTGCGATGGTAAATACAATTGTTATAGATACAATTGGATGCTTCACTGAGGTCGCGTTAACGCACATGTGCGAAAAAAAGCGTCTGACAATAACACTGCTAAAATGTCAAGATGTTCGACAATTTTTTAAATTATGTAGTAAAGTTGCTTTGAACAAAAGTTGAGATAAGAATAAAATATATAAAGTTATTGTATATAGTTATAATTACATTCATATAAAGAAATTACATAAATATATTTACAATATTGAGGTTAAAATATATTTATTATATTTTTATTACTTCAGGATTTTAAATATGGAATGTTTTTTGTTAGACCAATTATGTTATGTCTTCATGTTAGTTATAAGTTTGCTGAAAAGAAAAAAAAATCATATAAATTATTTTATACAATTAAATTACTTCTAGAAAAATTATAAAAATCTTAAATTTTAAATCTTACATAACAATTTAGATATGTAGAAAAAGCATTAAAAAATTTTTAAATGTAACTATTAAAGATATTATTAATAAAAATAACAATTTTTCTAAACCTAATCAAGAGCATATAATAAATCTTGCTACATAAATATTACCGCTACATTTTTAGAAATGGTTTTTCTCATCTTTTAAAATTCAAATTATTGTACATATTTTTTCATTTGATTCTAAATAACTTTTTGTACCATGCTTATATGCAAGTGCCCGATCTCTTTCATCCCATATTGTGAGACCATCGCATGCGCATATTTTTTTCGTATTTTGAAACAATCCAGAAGATCTGGCTATAATACCACAAGCCAACCTATACAAGAGAAAAATTTACTATAAAATGACTAATTGTAACTCTGTAACACAATGATATAACAATTTTATATACCTAGTTCCACTGTTTCCATTTATCTTAGATTCTGGATTGTTACTTCTTCCAAAGTCATCTGGATCTTTTGTAATAATAAGTGATCTGCCAATGATATCAGGTATTTTAAGGAATTTATCTATCTTGCGAAAAGTAGCTCTGCCTGTAGTATCTGCTAAAATATTGCCAAGATCACCAACATGCTGGAATTGCATAATATTAAAAATGATATCATTAAAGCATCATAAAATATAAATAACTTTTTATATTTACCCTTTTAGATAAATCATCTTCGGGACTTCCATGTAGAGAATTATTTGGGTTAAAATGCTCACCTACACTACAATAAAAATAAGATTTATTTAGAAAGCCAATCTAAACATCTGCTTTCAGACCCAACTTACTTATCACAGCCTTTCGATATGTCACCGCATTCGTGTATATGTATACCGTGCGCGCCTGGAGTTAAACCATCAACAGTACCATCTATGATACATCCTTCTGAAGTTTGTGCAAATCTTATTACCCCTTTAATTAAATCACCTACACTGTATCCAGAATTTCCACCCAACATTGAAACAGCACTTGATCCATCTGCAAAAGTTAAATATAATACAATTTCAGTAACAAATAATTATATTTTAATCTCTGAAATATATATAAAATTCTGTTTAAAAGATTCTTTTCTCTTTTGCATAAAAAGCTTCTTCTATAACATATTTTCTGATACTTTCAAAAATATATGTGTTGAAAAATAAAACATATTTTTATAATATATATTAAAATAGAAGAAATGTATTTAAACCTCCATATCCTTTCAATACTGCCTGTCTCCCAGTTTTTTCAATTTTTTCTTGAACAATAGAGTAAGGTAAATTCGTTTCAACGATAACAGTACCACGATCTAATGATACATCAACATTTTGAATACCCTCCAAATCTGCTATACTCTCGGAAATTGCCTTAACACATTTTTGGCATGTCATATGTACTGCGAACTCGATCTGCAAAAGCAACAAATCATTTTATAATCTACTGAAAGGTTTCAACATTCCAACGATAAATATGAAAAATAATTGCTTACTTTTGCTGCAGCCATTACACACGTATTTACATCAACGTGATAAAGCAAATTTTCATACACCGGTCGTATGCCGGTATATATCTACGCATCTTTTTTCTTGTAGACGAAACACTTCGTAGATATTTACATAATAATGCGTAAATTTATATTTGTACTTGCTTGTTATTGCATTATGGTAGAACATTGACTGACATTTGATACCCAATAAGAAAATTTATTTTTCAGAAACTAATTCAGCACTAGACAAAATCCCCAGAAAGCACATTTTTTTCTATTGGACATCATCGTTTTTATCGATCGATGATTGTGACTGAAAATAGATTAGAAGTAGCAAATTCGCATACTCGCCGTTAGCGGCGTTGCTTTCCCAAGCCTTCTAATTTCGCGAACGTCCGATCTCTCATCTTTCACTTCTGAAACTGGATATCTCGCAAAGCAATTACTGATAATTGCTACACGCGTCAGCTATATTATAGCAAAAATACACCGTACGGACACGGCTGATTTGTGGTTAGATAACGCGCAGGTCGATCGAGTTCGAAGAGGTCTTCTGTGATCTTCAAGCAGTTCCGCGTCGAATATAATGTTGCATTCCGAATAGTCGACATTGCGGAATGATGCTCCGAAAATGCGACGAAAATGGACGTATTACGCGTTGAAGCGGTTTTAAATAGCGTCGCGCGATAGTGCAACGTAAAAGTGAGTATCTTGGTATTGCCGGTTTTCCTCATCAATAAGATAAGTCGCAAGTTACTACAAAAATGTCCGTGGCCTTCGCACAACGCGGCAGACCTCCTCCAAATCCCGCCCAATTACAGAAGGTAAGAAAGTTGATTATTGCTTCGCAAAAAAGAAAAAAAAAAGAAAAAAAATATGTTTATTATATATCGTTTTTTGACTAAAAATTGAAACATAAAATATACATTTATGATTCTACAAACTGTAATAATCTATATGTATGTGCTTATACATTTTTCTAGATGCTCGATGAGAATGGTCAACTTATACAAATGATTCAAGAGTATCAGAATAAGGGCAAAGTGCAGGAATGTTTACAGTGAGTGATTAATGTAGCAATTCTTAATATTTTTGAAATTATATAATATTTTTGATACTTTATGTTGGATGTTTCCTTTTTAATTTTATTAGAAAATGTATAAATGTCATTTGCAAAACAGTATTATGCAACAAAAGTTAAATATTTATATTATTGCAAAAGCCAATTTTAATTTTGTATTAAGTTATTCTTTTGTAGTAGGTAGTAAAGCAAAGCAATTTGCTTATTTAATGTTATTAATATTTTTTAATTTAATGTTTTATCTGATATTTTTGTTAATCTATGTTCTATTAAATCTAATTTTCAGATATCAGCAAATATTACATCGCAATTTGATATATCTGGCGTCTATGGCAGACGTTAACCAAAATCTTCAAACCTTATTGCCTGTAAGTGTATTTTACAAAATAAAAAACATATAGTAAAGAGCATTTAATTAAACAAAATTACAAAGTTTAATGAAATTTTCGTAAACAATTGCAGAATTTAATTTTTTTTTTTTTAAGCTACCTCAAGGTATTCCTAATGGTCCTCAACATGGTATGATGAACCCACAAGGACTTCCAAGTGGTCCGGGTGGTACAGCCGGTCCTGGAGGAGAAATGCCTCCAAATACCCAACCTACCATGCCGATGTCGACTTTTAATCAAGGCCAACCAATGGCACAAGGTGGTTATCGTGGACCTGTGATGCCCGGCCAAGGACCTACTATAGTAAATAGTATGTTATGTTCTAATTCAAATTGTATTATTTTATTGATGTTAACTTTCTTTATATTTTTATCTTAATTGTACTATATTTAAATTTAATGTATAATTATAACGCTTTTAACTTGATGTTAATATTTGAATCTGTTATCTTTAGGGCCTACAACTGCACCACCAGGTCCACAACAATACAGAGGTCCGCAAGGTTATCCTCAACAGCCTTCTCAGCAAGGTTACCCTGCTCAATACACGAGTCAGAATCCTGGCTCGAACTATCAAGGACCGCAAGGATCTGCATACACTCCTGGTCAGCCAAATCAGTACGGACCGCCCAACACCTCTCAGCAACAAGGATACAGCGCGGCGACTCAGCCAAATTATGGTCCTCCGACTACGGTGAACAGCTATGGTCCACAACCAGGCGGTTATCCACCGCCGGGGACGCCTCAGCCACCCTCGGGATACGGGCCGCCACCGCCCAATCAGCAAGGTTATCCGCCTTCTAACACTGCACAGCAGAATTTCTCATCAGGTAGTCAACAACAACAACCAGGACAATATGGCAGCCCTAGTCCACAACCAAATTATCAGCAGCCTCCGTCCCAAGCGCCACCTCAAAACGCGTACGCTGCGGGACAACCCGGGAGTTACCCCCCTCCCTCTTCACAGGCATATGCGAACAATGTCCCACCACAAAATTACCCACCGCCCCCGACAACCAGCGCGACTCCCCCACAACCGGGATCTCAGCAAAACGCGGGCCCGCAGCCCAACTATGTTAGCCAACCGAGTCCAGGTCCCGGCGCGACGCAATACGGTCCTGCATCTACATCACCGCCATTTAGCACCTCCTCCGCGACCGTCGGCAATACTTACGCCCAGAGTCAGCCGACGAGCACACCGTCCGCCTCGACGCAAACGTATCCGCCGAGTAGCGGTCCACCGCCGACGTCGCAGGGTGGAAGCTACGCCCCTCCGGTGCCGCCGGCCCCCTCAGGGTATCCCGTTCATCAAACACCCCATCCGACATCGCACCCCCCGCATCCACCGCCGCCACACCAGTCACCTCATCAGCCACCGCACGCCCCGCATCAGCCGTCTCACCAGCCATCCCATCAGACCTCTCATCAACCGCCCTCACATCAATCACCACATCAACCACCACAACAATCTCAGCAACAGTCACAAACAGCTCCGCAGACGCAACAGCAACCGTCTCAAAGTCCAGCGCCGAGTGGGTTTCAACCACCGTCCGGTCCGCCGCAAGGTCCTGCCCCGCCGCCAGGCCCTCAACAACAGCCAGCCTATGGGCCTACTACTACGCAGACGTATGTTCCACCGACACCAGGAGGACAGCCACAGGTATTGTCAAAATGGATTTTACTTGAATATATTGACATAACCAAATTTGTTATTTTTAAATGAATTGTTTAGAAGTGAATAGTTAATTGATGCAGTTACATGAATTAATTGCTAATGTATGCAGAATGGAGAGCTTTTTATTTTTGAATCGTAGATTTATAGTCCTCATCCACCACAAGGAGGACAACACTATGGACATCCGCAGTATCCTCCTCAAAGTTATCCTCCACCGCCAGCAGGACAAGGATATCCACAGTATCCTCCTCGACCACCTGGTGGACATATGCCTCCACCACCTGGACCACAAGGACCACCTCCGCCCAATCAGTATGGAGGTTACGGTTATCAGCCACCCACACAATGAAAAATGACAATGTAAATTTATGTATGCTAAATTTACATTTAAAGGGTATTTTTATTTCAATCTTTATTTACTTTCTTGTGTGGATACGTTCATGTATTTGATTAATTTAAGTTCAAAATATTTATAATGCTTTCAACAAGTGTTTTTTATAAATATGCGAATTTATATATAATCAAGTATATACATCATTTTTTGTAAAAACTCGAACTTGAGTTATTTACAGTTATTTTGATAATTTTTCAATATTTCCTTAGTAATTTAATACATTCATAATGTGTGACGAAATAATCTGTTTTACATTATGTATGTATATATACTTATACTAGGTTTAGATTGGTAAAAAATTAAATCTCTTTTTCTTTATATTGCTATTAAACTTTGATGAACCGTGTATGCCAAATATTTTAAACGGCTTTTAACTTTTACAGCGTATAATGTGAAAAACATACATATAGAAATGCTATAATTTATTAAAGTTTATTTTTACATTTGATTAGATTAGATTTGAGAATTTCAAATTTTATTTTTATTATGAATATACACCTAATTTTGTATTAATATATTTAAAGCATAAACAAAAGTTAAAGATTAGACGATTATAATGCAGTGGTACAGATATATTAAATATAAAATTACAAATCTTTATTCTGATTTTCATTTATATTACTTATAATTAATATTACAAGATTTAATTTTATTATTGGCATAATATAAATGTGAATGTAAATTTTTCCATTCGACAGGTAGCTCTAATAAGATTCGCGTTATGTGATCTTATCATACCCTGTAACTATCCCATAACTATTTTTCGAGGGAAAAATGTTGACAAATGTACAAATAAAGTATCTTGTTCAAGCTTTCAACATAATTTTAGATAACATAAATAAGTAAAAAGTAAATTAAATGATATATAAAATAGCTATATAACAGGTTGTACAAGCATATTGTAAAAGAAAAGATTTATTAAATATTTAAAAAATCCTCTGTTTTGCAAATTTAGGCTCACATTACTTTTTATATTTGACATTAGTAATTTTAGGTATAAAATAGGTATAAAATCTCAGTGAATAAATGTGCATCTTTGTACATGGTACTCGTATGAAAATGTGAATTCGTTAAAATCTTCACTGTATAAATAAATCATAGGGAAAATGTTAAACAAAGGTGTTAAGCTACAATTCGTCTCTGAAGTTTAAATTGCTAAGATGACACGGACAAGAATGACTAGGTTGTGGTACTTCTTCCATGTTATTTAGTACTTCAATTTTACTCTTTAAGCGTTTACTCCATTCCTGAAATATAAAAGTTATATTATTGGCAAGATGTATTCGAAAAAAAAATATATAAAATAGGGCTTTCTCACACGTACACACAGACATACACATACATGAAATAAAACTGTATAGTAGCATAATATATCACGTGGTAATAAATTGTCCCTTGCAAATTGTCTGGCAGATTTAACAATTTTCAATCCATCCTCGTCATGCTCCTTTGCCCATTTAATCTTATCGACAAGATCCGAAAGATCACTTTTCACAGGCACATAGTGTAATCCAGGTACGAGATCCTTATAGAAAAATTCATAATACTTGGATTCTTGCTTAAACACCAAAGAATCTCCAGTAAGTAAATATGGGAATCGATATGCTGCTACCGTGCCATCAATATTCAACTGATATTTATACTATAAAAAAATACATAAAATCAAGACGATTGACAATAGATATAGTCAGTTCCTAAACATAATTTTCTTTTTTTTTTTCACTAACGTAAACTGTAAAATTATATCTACTATTTTTATATCTCTAAAAAACTTACATACAAATTTGAAGTTTATGTATTGTACAAAATACAGATTTTACGGACATTTATAAGCTTGTATCATGATGATGTATTGAGATAATGTAATTATTTCTAAAAATGTAACTTTGAAAGTGCATTAAATTCAATGTATTGCCAGTTCTGTCTGCGAAAGAAGTTAAATTTTCATATTTACCTTAAAAAAATTGAAAAATGATACGTGATCTTGCGCAGGTCCATATTTATCTATTTCGTCCCTAAAGAAGAAGAAATTAGTAATAGAAACGTTGAAGAGCTCTGGGTGTTTTTTCGAGATCTCTATGAGATCGAGACGTTCTCTTCTAGAATCACGTCCACGCCAAAACAGTTGCTCAGTCTTGTCGAACCACGTTGGTCCAGTGTTACCTTGTACGGAGAGCGTATCTAACATTACCCTGTTTTTCAAGCATATAATATCGCAAATAAAATAAAAACGTTTAAATCACTACCATTATCAATGCAAGTCATACCTTCCCATTGCTTCCAAGGACGATTCTGTGAGATCATATGTAGGCATAACAATGTCCTTCGTATCTTCGGACCCGCACCACGAAAAGATAGGATAAAGCGGGCCGGTATTAGGAACAAGTGGCCAGTCACCCAAATTCACAAAGAGTTCAATATCTGGCAGCGTCACTTTGCGTGCCAGTGACAACAATATAGCATCCATAAATATTTTAAAACCAACATACTGGCCATAACATCGCCTATAAATCTAATTTAATCTATTTCAGGAGTCAACATTTATAAATATGAATTATATATGTTAATGGATAACATGATATTTACTCTGTTAGATTTCAAGACGTAATGACAAATGCTGACACTGGTTGGTCGATCATATTTCTTGATGATGCTTTCACGTATTCTATCAAAATCAATATTTGAAAACGGAGTGAGATCATGATGTATCTGAGTATAATTTTCTTGGCACTGATAGTGATTTAACCAGTTGGTGATTGAGGGATTTGGACAGTAACACTCTTCTTCATAAATAGGACCTAAAAAAAATATTTTGTTAAGATTTAAAATATTTCATATAAAAAAAATTGGTACGCATACCTTTGATCTCTGAATGAGGAATTGGTAGTTCTTTTCCCTTGATCTTTACTTTAATTTTAATGTTAAAGCAAGTGCTAAAAATTTTATAGCGCATGATGAAACTTCCATCTTTACAATCAAAAATTTGAGTCCATACTCGACATGGTGCATCATTTAAAGATTTTCCATATATTTGTCCAGTGACTATATTTTCACCAGGAGATTTTGTCAAACTGGAATATACAATAGCATAATTTAAAATTACATATAGATGACAGAGTTTATATTATAGAAATATTAAGTATAATTATGTTTATCTTTTGAAAGATTTAAAATATTCTGCATATAATTTTATAACAAAAATTTTTCATTAATCTTCCTTTTATTGGATTTTTGTATACTGAATGAGATCATTAATAATCTCATAAATATTTTTAACATTCTCACATGTTTGTTTTGTATAATAAATATAACTGATTGCTAATACTAACTTTCTGCCATGTGAATCAGTGAGTTGCAGGAAAAAATATCTTGCACGCATGGTAACTTCTGCTGGTTTTAATCCTGGGCCCCAAACAATCGTTTTTAGTGGATCTACATCAATATTGCTTGCACTCGCACAAATAAGTAACACTAATAATGTTATCAGTTGCATGATTTTTGAAAATATTTAGACGAATAATATACGTTTATCTTGGATTCATGTGATGTTTTCGTTGCTAAAATGTTTAATTTTTTAAATCAATTATAAGGTTATGAAATATTTCTTATGTTTACTATTGATATTTAAATTATCTATGTGAAAACAAAAGGTTATATATGTATATTTTATTTATTATACAAATTATATATATTTTTGAACTTATACTTACTTGTATTTTTATTGTAAAGGCATAAATTCAATAGTAGCCGGCTACAGTTTAAAAATTTCTTCAGTGCTACACAGTGCTACACGCATGAATGTAATGTATGTGTAATTCATTCATATGCAGTGCAGTGTTTCTCAATTTGATTCTTGCACTCCTTTGAAGAAATTTCTTGAAATTTCGATAAAAATTTATTATTGTAGATTTTTATGGAAATTTATAAGCACAAAAGGAAAATAAACGAAGAAGATAATTATAAATAACTAAGCTAGTTAACAGAATATTTCTTACACATTTTCATTAAACACAATTTCAATATTGTAAGGAACGCGATGAACTTGAGAGTCCTTGATCTGGCGATTGAAAGAGGTTAAGGAATGAATTTATTAGTTGAATCAGCTGATCTATATTTTTAATAACAATTTTATTATCACTTTTATATGTTTGAAAAGTTATCACATACATAATATCTACATGTAATGTTAATTTTGTTTAATATTTCCTATAACTGCGATTTATAAATAAATTTTCACATTTCTATAAACTGCAAAATTAATGATACAACTACATTGAATATTAGCAATTTGGTACAGCGATACAAATATATTATTACATCTTTTCTGCCTCTTTATATATATATATATTCTATATTCAAAATAATATCTGTATGATTTGGAAGAACAGTTTAATATTACATTGAGAAGCCATTTGTGTTCCATATTTTTACTTCATAAAGGTTTTTTTTCCACTCTCAAGGCTTCCAACCAAGAAAACTGTCCTGTATAACTATCTGCTTAAATATACTATTTGACATAGATTGCATAGGCTTTCGATTTCGCTGAGCTTCTATGATATAAGAGACCTTGCCTCGAGCTTCCGCTCTTGAAATGTCACCCCTCAGGCCGAGAAGTCTGATCAGATGATCCTCAGTCATGTCGGGATACTTTTCGACCAAGGAATGTAGATCAAGGGAGAGAATCTCTGCGTCTTCGCATCTCAGTACCTCGGCGAGACGTTTTATTATCTCAAATGGTGAATTGAAATTTCCAACCTTTGGTGCAATTCTGTCGAAAAAGTTCTTCAATTTGTCCGCTTCCGTCATTATCTTTGATGTACATGTCAAGCACTCGTCATAAGTTTTCAATGATATCTTTCTCTGTAACATTGCGGATATGTAGCGTTTCGCGATTAGATTTTGCGCTTCAGTAATGACATATTCAAAGTTCTTGGGACTCAGATGATTGTAATCCTGAAAATAATCTTCTAGGGTGACGCAGATGGTTTCCACCGGAATAGGCGACGACAGCCACTTAGGTGTGATTAAGTCTTGGAAGTGCAATTCGAGATCCAAAAATGATTCTTGTAACAGAATGGTCGCGGCTTCATTTCTCAATTGCTGATAATTCACTAAGAGATTCTCAAATTTTATAGTGGCATCTCCAGTGGTATTGGGCACCCAGTAAAGTTGTTTCATCTGCTGTGCTAACTCCGTGAACTGTAAACAATTATTAACTATCGTGATCATATGTTGAGTGAAGTAAGGTACTTGACTCCTGTCCTCAAAATGCCTTGTTTTGAATTCCAATATTGCTTGTCTGTACATAGCTCCGTACTTAATTACTTGCTCGATACAGAGAACCAATGCTTGAGCAGTCAGATCAGTACTGATGGTTTTTGTAACTTGAAGATTTTGGTCAATCATCTGGAATATAATTACTGGTGCTGCAGTGTGATAGTAAAGTTCTTGAGTGCCGCTTTCAGGCAAGATGCCACTCCTCCAATCGAGTTTCTCTGTTTCCAATGTCTTCCTCATCCAGTCTTCATAATTTTGACACATATTCCGCAAATATTTCTCCTGCAGATCATTTATCATCTCAGGACTGAGTAATGGGCCAATGTCGGATGTGTCAATATTTAATTCAGAATGCTGCATCAATTCTGATCCAGTGTAAGTATTCATAATCCACGCCAATAAAGAAACATATTCGTTTCCTTCCAATCCACTGACAATTATGTCCTTTAAATGTTGGGATAGGCTGGTGTGATACATTTTAACAAAAGTATTCACTATGTCGTAGGAAGGTGGAAAACAAGGCTTACATAAAGTCTTTACTACCCTCAAATCTTCAAGAATCAAGAGTCTTGTGAGTTCCAAGTATCTCACTAGCCACATTTTGTTATCAGCTCTCTCGTCAACTTGAGTCCCTTCAATCCTGTTGGCTACAGACTTTTCTAATACTTTCATTGCCATTTCTTTCCACTTCTTAGGTCTGCCTGGTGCCATAAATCCACTTTGCTTGTGTCTTTGAATAGCAAATTGATCCGCTTTTTCTTCCCTCTCTATGATTCTCAGAGGTGTCACTATAACAGTAGGTTCCTTCCTGACTGTATTTAAAGTACGACTAAGTACTAGCCTTATCTGTTTCTCCATAAGCTGAGAAAGCATTTCTACATCTTCAAAATAAGCCTTCAACATAATAGTGTCCGCTGGTGATTGATTTGGTAGTTTATGAAGCTCATACAATAATTCGTCTCTGGAACTTTCAAGATCCATCAGGCTCTGATGCGCGTGCAGTAGTTTACCTTCGTTTATCCACTGCTTTGTCTTCTCGACACTCTCGGGAACGGTGAATATGTGCTTCAAGTTCTCTTTCGCGATGACATACTGGGAATGACGCATGTTCTCCTCCTGCACTGCTTGCAGTCTAGAACTGAGCTTTAGAACAGAACTGAACTGTTGGTTAATATGATCCAAATCATCTTTGATAGCGGCAATACTTTCCAGAGAACTTTGCAGTTGCTCGAAGCCGACTCTGACTCCGTCCAGTTGACTTTGCATCGCAGTTTTCAGCATAGTCTCGACAGATGCCTTTTTCCTACTGATTCTACGCTTGTACATGTCGATCTTTTCCAGCTGACCCGGCCGCTGCAAAAGGTTCGTGACATACTTCGTGCCTCTAGCCATCGCTTCTTCCTCCAATTTTTGCAAATCTTCCATATTTCTCGTCATTTTTATTCACTACTGTGTTGATAATCAAATTGTCAAAACCTTGTTTTGATCAAAAAGTCTTTCTGTGAGATTCATAGAGTTTGATGTACTAAGATGGCAGTCGTATGAAGAAAATTGAACTTCTTTTTAGGGACGTTTACATGAATCGTGAGGATTTTAACCTCAATATCGCTACGTGACGCTTTATGGCCGGAGCACAGACTTTTGCATAAAGCATAACGCATAAGCATAAGGAAATTGATTGGTCCATTTCCTTATGCATTTGCTTATGCTTATATATAGACCAATCAATTTCTTTATGCTTATGCGTTATGCTTTATGTAAAAGCTTGTGCTCTCGGCTTTACGCTCGAATCAAATTTTATCGAGTTTCGCTTCTATGACTTTCGATTATATACAATCAAGCTAAAATGTATAATATATAATTATGCAATTAAGTATCGTTGTATAGTGTACGAGACACTAAATAAATTTAGTTCTTCTCAAAAAATATAAGTGCAAAATACTTTTCAGATGGCTTATTTATCACAATTGTTTTCTCTAGCGTTACAAAACGCCCGTCAAACTCTAGTATCAAATGATATTAATAATTTGGGTTTGTATTCGAATATATTGTTAATATATCACACGACCAGATATGTAACATGATTGTGTATGTATCAGAAATAATTGATGAAATTTATCTTTTTTATTTAGCAAAAGTATGTGTAAGATACGCTTCGAAGAAAGGTGGTACTAGTACCAGAAACAAAAAAGGTCATCCTAGACCAAAACACAGGGGATGGAAAATACAGGATGGAAAATATGCACAAGCAGGCATGATATTGGTCACACAGCGGACTCTTAGATTTCATCCAGGTCTTAATGTGAGTTTTAATTACTAAATTTTTTATTGCTACTAGCTCTGTACACTATATATTTCTTATCACATAATAGGTTGGTTTTGGGAAAGATGGAACTTTATTCGCCTTAGAAGCTGGTAAAGTATTAGTAACTTGTGAAAAAATTGATCCTAATTGGGACCATTCCTGGGTTAAAAATGCTTATGGCGGCCGTGAAAATCAAGTTATATATAAGAAATACTTTAATGTCCTTCCCGATCCTCAGCATAATCGATTTAAATTGATTAACATAATATAAGTATGTATTATATATAAAATATGTATAAATTCTTTAATTATCATTAAATTTAAATATTTAATATATTGTTGGCTATTGTACAAAACTGATAAACTTAGAATAATTTTATATAATAATAGTATATAAGATGAGAATTTTCAGGTCCCTGAGTTAAAGTCTAACTAAAATCCATTTTCCATAAACAAATTAAAATTATAAAATTAAGTATAAAACTCTAGAACCATTTAAAGAATCAACCAAGAATTAAAAATATAAATTCTTTAATACATATAAAAGAAATACATATATAACTCTTGTATACACTTTAATCATTTTTTAAGCCATTTTCAAGTGTATTACTTTGCGTCCATTGAAAAGATTGATATTTTACTTTATCTTCCTCCTCACAATATGTAGCAAATACCAATGTCTTCCTGACATTACAACTGACTCTACATTGAGTTATAAGTGCTGCAATAGGCATCTCTTCGTTTTTGCATTTACATTGTATTATATAGTATGCATGAAACATTATAGGATCACCTGTAAATAGAAATTTATCAATAAGCATCATATAAAATAAGTTTATTATTTATGAATGATAAAATTATACCTGGATACGCTAGAAAGTCGCCACCAAATTTTTCTCCACTGGTGATATAATATTTCCTTTCCCAGAGATCTTTGTAAACTTTGTATCTAATTGTAAGTTGTTGATCAACAGGAATAAGTGGATATTTCCAGTCCACAATTTTTACATCATCTTTAATAAACCATGGATGTGCTAATAATGTGCAAGAGTAAATTCTATCAAATTGTATATATTAAATATATACAGGTATAAATTATAACGTTTTTTTTTTACCTGTATGTGTTTGAACAAGTGCTTCGTTTTTATTTAATTTAGGCAATTTAGCTAGTTCTTCTTCAAGCAAACTTTCAGTATCAATTTTAATACTATCTAAGGCTTCCTGTGTCTTTCTGTCCAATGGTTTCTTCATATTCTTTTTGTTTGTATGTAAACCTAAAATCTTGCGCTTCTTTCCATCCACAATTATACCCATCTTAGAAGTAACCTAATGAAAAAATTTAGTATAATTTGTTACTGTATAATAAATAGCATATTATATTTTATTACAAAATCTGCATATTTTTTGTAAATATAAATATATACAAACAATAATTACCTGTTGCTTTCTAAATTCTATCAAACGTTCTTCTTGCTCTATGAGTAATGTATCTGTATATTCTTGAAATTTCTTATACAACGATTCAGTTGGTGGTTTCTCTAGATTTGTACACTGTACAACACAAGCAATTTTCTTCTCAACTAAAAGAGTTACTTCTTCTGGAAATAGTAACAATGGAAGACCTGGAAATACATCCTGTCGAATTGACTTGGGAAGTGTACCCACTAACTCGCCAATTATTCTGTGATCTCGTCGAAGTCTCAACCAATCTATAACAAAACGACACACAAATAAAATAACTTAAATACGCGCACATTAATTAACAATATGATGCTATTTACCATTTGCGCTCCATATAAAAACATTATTTTTTGAAGAAATGAGATATATAGGATCCGTCATATTTATGATTCTTTTAATTTGTAATTGATAACGTTATAACAATTGTGACTATTTATAAAAGTATGTGTTTTGAAATAGCACTTTTTCTCAGTTTTTATGAAAGCGGACAGACACACAACAGACGCACCCAAAAGATGCCATATTGTATCGATATCCTTTAAATCACTGTGTCATTGGCTGATTTTTTTTGGCATGTCCTTTATATTGAACGCGCGATTGGTCGGTTTGTCTGTGTGTATGCAATACGCGCGGCTATGTAAGCTCCTTTGGACGGGTTTTTAACCTTACGAGACGCAATGTACACCGTTCATAAGGACGTCTATCACTTCTCCGAACAATAAGTTTTGCGGTGAGAAGGGCAGGGTGGAGAGTGAGAGGTGATTGTCGAACATCTGTCACCAAGCGAATGCAGGCTCTCGTTCAGTCCCGAAAACCAGTGAATACTGTCATGGCACCCGCTTTTGTGATTTTTTGAGGCAGTACACATATACGTACACGCACGAATCTGCATTGTGTCGCGTTCGGTGATTTTTGTATAGAACGGACCTGCACTCGTGTACACACGGTGAGTGGGATATCGCCTGGCCGGTGAATTCTTGTTTACTTGTTACGCGCATGCAGCGGGCACGGTGCGGTTTTAGGGCAAGCCCTTCGACGGAAACGCATTTATTCCGCCGGAGCAACCGATCTGTGCGCCGATCCGTAACACGAAGTAACGTAAAGTCAGAAAAGTGAGCCCTTTTTCTCGAATTCGTGGACGATCGTATAAATATTTTGCAGGCAGCTCATATATATAAGTGAAAATTATACGAGTGATTTTTTAGTGTTTTGAGATTATCGTACAATCGCCATACGTTTATCTTACGTCTCTTAATGAATACTTCATATCGATAATATAAATGAAACAGAATTGATATTAAATGTTAAATTACACATGTTTAGTCATAATTGTTATTAATTGCAAGTTGGGAATTGACAATCTTAAATTATAGATTATGATTATTAGCAATATTACTCATTTCATCGACAAAATTAATACGATTTTTTAATATGGCAATATAAAATTTAATATTTGAATTGTTATACAGTGGCACTGATAATGTTTATTTTTCTGTTTAGATAAATCATGAGCTCAGGTAGACCAATAAAATGTGTAGTGGTAGGGGATGGAACAGTAGGAAAAACTTGCATGTTAATATCCTACACGACAGATAGTTTTCCAGGGGAGTATGTACCTACTGTGTAAGTACTGTTTATATTATTACAAGTCGCGCCATATCTGATTTTTGTGAAAAAATCTCATGTTTTCACAGTCTACATATAGTCCATACATTAAAGATATACTTTATGACAAAGTTTTTGCTTTAGTTTCTTTCTTAGAGACCAATCAAATGGAGTGGCTAATAATAGTAGCAGAGTATGAGATACCTAACTGCTGTGTACAGGAAGTAATTCATTTCCAGTTTTCTTTTTCTGCCACTTCCTGTCCTTTAGAGTTTCACAAATCTATTTTTGCTTACCTTTATTTCATTTAATGATATTAAGATATAAATATTTGCCTAAAAATAAGCAGTGTACAAAACGTGGTTATGCTCATTTTTTAGTTTTCTTTATTTTCAATTGGGATGTTAAATTAGATATTTAATAAAAAATAATTGATGTGCACAAATTAAAAAAGATTGAAAAATGTAGAATGTCTGTAACACTTGTTCAGGTTTGACAACTATTCAGCACCTATGGTTGTCGATGGGATTCCAGTTAGTCTGGGGTTATGGGACACAGCGGGACAGGAAGACTACGACAGACTTCGTCCTCTGTCCTATCCTCAGACAGACGTGTTTCTCATTTGCTTCTCGGTAACGAGCCCTTCATCGTTCGAAAATGTCACCAGTAAATGGTATCCAGAAATAAAACATCACTGCCCAGATGCACCAATGATACTCGTTGGAACTAAAATAGATTTACGAGATGATCGTGAAACACTTACTGCCTTAGCTGAACAAGGCCTTAGTGCTATTAAACGGGAACAGGGACAAAAATTGGCAAACAAGGTTTGTGGAAACATTATTATTATCTCATACTTTCTATGTATTAAAGTATAAACTGATTGTAATATATGTTGTAGATTCGTGCAGTGAAATACATGGAATGTTCTGCTCTCACACAACGTGGACTGAAGCAGGTATTCGACGAGGCGGTACGCGCCGTTTTAAGACCCGAGCCGCAGAAACGTCGACAAAGGAGGTGCATTATGTTATAAACGATGAAAGGAATTGAAGGAAATCAGCTTAGGTAAACACATATATAAAACAACAGATCAAAATGAATTTGATCATTGAACGCAAAGAGAAAATATGAATGTTTTAAAGAGAAAATGAATAGTACGTGCATTTTAACGAATTACTCTGGCAGCTATAGGGTACCGCATCACAGAAAGAGTACAATTTATAACTTCCTGGTCTCAACGCGAGTCGTGATGCTAAAATCACGACCAGAAAGTTTAGACAACGAGAAAGTAAGAGAAATAGAATAACTATTTAGCAGCATTTTGCAGGAGGAAGTATGTTGCAAGCTTGCGGGTGTCTTTCCTTAAACTTGCATTCATGCATATATTTGCATATTGGTAAAAAAATATGTGAGGCCACAATAATGTGCAGTCGATACTCTAATGAGGATTTATTCCCTAGAAACGGTTCATGACATTTTTTTATATTCTACAAGAGAATCTCTGTTAATTCAAATTGCAGTCCTGCAAATTGATGATAATACAGTGTAAATGTGCTGTGATGATTACGAGCATTAAGTACAGAAGCTTTACTTATCAGGGCTGCCAGATTTTCGACTTTTTACATTTACAATAGTAGGAACATTGATTTTAGTACATATAATGCGATAGCTACCATTACAATCACATGCTGGAAAGTTTTACGCGACGTGAAACTAGCATTGTAGAATTATTTAAACATACAGTGCCATAGCAACGAAAAATCAAATGCATGTCGCAAGCACTTTTAATCAATCAGTTCTAGACAATATATGTGTATATTTTACTAACAATCGTTCTTAACGTGGGAATTTTTATCAGGAAAAAAAATTTCATAACGGAAATGAAAAAAATACGTAATGTTTAGAAGTAGCATGTTTGTCTTTCTATTTTTTAAGGGCATTTAAGATTTTTATTTGTATTAATATTTTTAATAAGAAATGTATGGTATGCATACAGAATACTGCCATATAAAATAACACAACACACGACAATTTTATAGTATTCCTCCTGTCGTTAGAGAAGGAAAATTGGTAACTTTGTGTGACAATTTAAGTTTGATCACGATGCATGGAATATTTTATTGTCTAGAATTGCAACAATGTTTTCCATGCTTATGTGTTGAAAGGAGTATTATTTATGTACATTAATATTTATTTTATTTTGATAAATTGAAAATTGAAAAAGATTTTACTATGATTTTGTTGGATAATTTGTATGATTTGTAGGAAAATAATTTCTTATTTACAATATAATGTTTTTTTTTGTTTGTGCTTGTAACAGTTACGATATTGTACAAGAGTTGTTGCATTGGTGCAATTTGACTAATTGATATTATTCAAACCTTCCACATAAAATGAATCTTCTTTGCAAAACTAATAATCAAAAAGATATATCAGTTGAGTAATAACGCGAAATGCCAGTGACGAGTAATGCAAGTCCACTTAAATTGAGATATACGAACATAGCACAACGTATTTTCTTAAATACCACGGTGTATCCCGGTACGGTGTATCTTCTTCCATTTATTTGTATGAGAATTGTTTACATGAAAACGAAAATCTAGTATGATAATTTAGAAAGATATATGTCTTGTACAAATAAGTGATTTATTGCTATAAAGTTGCTCATATCACTGTTTCTAATTCATTACACCATTAATTAATTGTAATTGCGACTGTACTTTTTTTTATTTACATTATTTTTTTTTTTTTTTTTTTTTTTAACTGAACTGATTTTAGTTTCAAAAATCAAATTTTATTGCCATAGATGTACTCTCTAAGGATTCAATGATAAAGTAGTGTGATGATAAATGGATATTACCCTTGTGATCATGCTATTTTTTTATATTTGAAAGCCTAGGATAGAAGAGATAGGACCTTTGTGCCATATGCTTTTCGTTTGTGAAACAAAAATTAAAATGTTACAACTACGTATTCAAGGCAAATGCCCGAATAATTTACAATCCTCTCGAACAATTCGATAAAGAAAAAGAGAACACATTTAACATTAGAGCAGCTGAGATTCGACAATTATTTAGGAAAATAATTTAATGTTTTATTTCTAAAAGGAAATAAGAACCAATTAGAAAATGATAAAAAAAAAGTTTTCTTTCACACAATTATTAATATTAATTAATTTATGGGGACACAAATTTTACGGTTGCTTAATAAAGCAAAATGACTATTTTTTTTGGCTGTTCTAATGTCAGAATGCTATAAGAAGCAAACAAAAAGGCATATTACAGTTCATTAGATGTACATAATGTAGTATATAGAAAACATACTATAAATTTCGGTCGTATCTGTGTCTTTTATGATGTGATTTTGGATTTTTTCTGCTCTTGATATCTTTATATATGCGCCAATAGGTCTTATCACGAAATGAATTAATTAATTAAAATACAAAAGGCCAAGAAATGGATGCAGTAATATCTGTACTTTGTTTGATTTGTGTGACATGTCTAAAATAGCATAGCAATTATTGCTATATAATTATATCTCTGTAATTTATCTTATAATATTTATAATACTCTTTCGAAAAGTTATAATTTACCCTACGATATTTACTAAATTAAAAATGTATGTCTTGATCGAACGAGATTATCCTTTTTTATCTTTCTTTTTTTTATTGCAATCTAAGATAGTTTAAATTCTTCATATGTATATGTATACCTACATATGTATAATAATGTATTAATTATAACACAATAATATACTATAATTATATATTGTAAAGTAATGTTATGCATAGGTTTTGCATTTCTTGTAAGTAGTGCATTTACTTTACAGATTTCAGCTACTTATCGTTAGTTTTTCTATCTTGCATATCGTTAAATCAATTAGCAATAGTATTTGTCAGTTTATTTTTATTCTGGTTTTATATGCATTTTTATACCAGGTGATTGACATAACTTTTTAATGTTTCTCATCATGGAAACACAAAATTAAAATTAACACAATTAATAGCAGTAATATTACTAACAAATGTTGAGATAAGTGGGCGATAAGTTGGGGCGTTCGTTGTATTTTTCAAAAGTTTTACTTTGGTAATGTAATTTAAGTTACACTACTTACAACTTCTGCATTTAATGAATATTGTAAGATCCGAATTTTTTTACGTTTTAATCTCTCCTCTTTTGAACGAAAATTATTGAAGAATGCTATAAACCAAAGTTATATATTACAATTTAAGATAACAATCTACTTTTTTTATTATGGACTATTGCACATAAGTATACAAAGAATGAATGTATGAAATGTAAAAATATTCTAGTCACCACAAATCTGCTTCTAATCTTTGTTTGTACGTGAATAATGCTCTGAGATTGCATATTATGATCCCTGAATGAAGCAGTTTAATGTGTGAATGAGCGAAATGGGGATGATGATGAAAAGAAAAAAAGGGACATGAAAGTAAAGATGCAACTTAATATTGTCAATTTAGATAGAATGCAAGAAAACCAAACGATGGAAGTAGAAATTTCTGTAGAAATTACAAATGTATGTACATGTACTAGGATATAACTTTAATTATGAGTAATTTATAAACATTTGTCTATTTTCGTAAAAACTTCCATAGAATTTATTATTTATGTACTAACGGGACAGCACAAGAGAGCATCCAGTTGCTTTTACAAATGTTTAATTCATCGATTTCTCCAATTTATAACACAGCCCGATAAATTTGTTTTACAAAAGCAATCTATCTATAATTGATGTATTCCCTATGCTTAATGCACTCTTTTGCTGTCAACACGATTGCGAAGCGGTAACAAATAGTGGCCTCGAATTTAATTTGGATTATCCCAGTTTCCTTATGAGAAAATTACAATTAACAATAACAATTATGATGTGAGTAACATGATTACATAAACGCATATTCTATATGGCACTAGGAAGCATTTATTTTTTATTTATATGTATTTTGAAAACAACTTTTTCAAATAAACGATACACAATAAAATCATTGCAAAATAATGTAGTGTAGAACACACTGCTGGCTGCCTGTATACTTGGAAAAGTTTTCTTCTGCCTCAATTTAGTATTAATATGCTTCATTAATGCTTTTATCCGTATAAAAATTTGCTTTTGTATTAGAAACTATTTTACAAGCAAAACAATGTATAAAACACAAGTGTAACAAATTTTAATTCCAGACATTTTTATCTTGTAAAACTATTTCTTCTGATTTTTATAAAAAAATACATTTCATATACTACCTTGCTATTTATTGTAAATAAAAATCATCTTAATTATGCCGAAAATGTGTGCGCAAGTGTTAACGCGGGGTGCTAGAATGTTCCAAGTCAGTCCTGGATCAGCCACGTGTTAGACAAAGATGCGATATATCTAGCCGTCCTTGTCTGTCGCACGACGATCAAGTGTGCCACAGGAATATATATATATATATGCGAGGGAAAAAGCACACGAGG